CTGAACAAGTTGGGCTGCTCCCTGTTCTCCCACTTTCCCTGGCACCACGCCTTGCCTGGGGACACAGTCAGCAGCTCCGCTGTGTCCCAGGGCTCTGGGGCAGCCTCTTGCCAGGGAACCCGGACCCAGGATGCTGCAGTGCCCCATCCCCACAGGGGGAGGGGGGGATGTGTTAGGAGGTCTGTGCCAACACACTGTGTGCATCCCCTGCAGGACGCCCGACCTTTGCTGTGGGACAGCCCGGCGCTATGGCAGATCCCCCTGGCTGCTGCCAGCCCTGTGCCACCTGCCTGCTCTGCCTTTACAGCTGCCGGTGGGTCACTGCCAAGAAGGAGAAGAGGAAGGGCCTGAGAACCACCCAGGTGCCACCACGGGTGATTTTTTTTTGAGCTGGGGCTGGCCAGCCCCTGCATCAGAGTGGTGGCTGGGGTGGGGAAGGGCTCAGCCCAGACATTGGGCTGCTGGCCCCTTGCTACTGGTCCTGCTGCCCAGGGCTGAGCCCCATTTCCCTGGCACCCTCTCTGTCCAGGGACTGCCCTAGCCTGCAGCAGTGAGAAGACAAGAGGGCGAGCTGTCTGTTCCTGGCAGGTGGCAGAGCAGCAAGGCTGTGCCGGGCCGGGCTAAGCGTGTGTCTGCCGCAGGGCTCACGCGTGCCTGGAGCACAGCACCGTGCTCCCCGAGGGCTGAGCGTGGCGGGCAGGTCCTGGGGCGCCGAGTGCCTGGCAAGGCACGTGGGAGGCATGGTTCCTGGGCGGGGTGGGGTCCCCACTGATGGGGTGCTGGAAGGGGGTGTCCCTGGCAGTTTGTAACCTGGGAGGGGTGAGGCCCTGAGATTCTCTGAGGTGTCCAACTCCCATGGGAGCGGCTGTGCCACTGCTTGTCCTGTCTTGCCTTGGAATGTGTGAGCTGGTCGGGGCTGCCGGGTGTCCCGCTCGGCACCTGTGGCAACCCTCTCACCCCCCTGTGTATGCAGGGCTGGGGGCTGGAGACCCTGAAGCTAAACCTGGCTGGCAGGCAGGAGCAGTCTGCAGGCTCACCACTACAGTGGAGGCTCTGAGGCACAGCACCCCTCTCTGCCCACCCATAGTTCACCCAGCTAGAAGGGAACAGGACCTGGTTCCCTGCTCTTTCCCATGTCCAGAGTCCCAGTCTGTTCCCAGGAGCTGGTGCATGGGAAAAAAGGGCAGTCCTGTCACAGGGGCTGTCCTCCCAAGCCTGGCATAGCAGCTTTTTAGCTTGTAGGAGATGCTGGTCCATCTTCTTGTAGCATGGGTCCAGCCAAAAGAGCTCTCCTGGGGAGCCCTGTTCCCTCTCCATGAGGGTCCTGTGCACCCTACTGCAGGCTGGGTGCTCCCTAGGGGTCTCTGCAACCTGGCCAGGTCCCCCGCAGGTGTCTGCATAGCTGTCATCTCTGGCTTTCAGTGCGACTGCAGCTGGTTTCTTTTCCTCTTCTGCGTCTTCCTCTTCACACTGGTGTGGCTCTACTTCGCCATCATCATCCTCAATGATTTCCACAACTTCAATGAGTGAGTAGGATCCCACATCCAGCCTTGCTCCCCATGTTCCCCCTACCTCTCTGACTGTCCCTTTTGCCGGCAGGTTCATCTTCAAGCAGAGGAAGTTGTGGCTAGACTGGTCCCTGGTCCTGCTCATAGCGACGGCTGTGCTGTTCACCTACTCAGCTGTGTTGCTGGTGAGCCCCGCTGATCTCACCTGGCATAGAGGGAGTACAGAGCTGTCCTGAGCACAATGTGGCTGCCATGCCCTGTGCAGGGTCAGGTGGAGCCCACAGCATCTGGCCTGTTTGAGTGGTGTCTGTCTGAGCATGGCCAGAGACCCTGCCTGTGTCAGGCAGCTGGAGCTCCTGCGGTGGAGTCCTGTGCCCTTCAAGGGCTGTGGTGCAGGGTACGGCCCAGCTCTGACATCTCCTTGTTCTTCCCACAGGTCCTCGCTTTGTTCTTGCAGCTCTGCGGCCAGCCCTTGAAGCTACACTGGCTGCACAAGGTGAGAGTCTGGGGATACAGGGAGATGGTGGCTGCCTTGGTGACCGTTGCCCCCTGAGAAGCTATGACCAGCCTACGGGGCCTGCGTACAGCTGCTGTGGCCCCACTGTGTGTCCCCACTGAGCTGGGCTACAGCTGTTGGTCCCCAAGTCACACATCTCTGGAGTGGGAATGTTCCCCTTGCTCAAAGCACGGGGTACAGAGCTCAGCTGCAAACCCAAATAGGGGAAGTGGGGTCTCGCAACTTGCAAAGGGTGAGGAGGAAAGGATGGGGAGGACTCTGCCTGCCCTCCCAGGGCAGAGTCCAGCTGGCCTGCAGGATGCTGTGTGCTCCTCTAACTGCCCTGTGCCTTGCCCCACAGACCCTGTTGATACTAACTGCCCTGGTGGTGGCTGCAGCCTTCACAGGGCTGGGAATAAAGTGGGCGGAGGAGTGGAGAAGTGCACGTATCTCCCTGCAGGTGAGTCAATTCGATACCAGAGACTCCCCCGCTGTACCCATTACCTGGCCTGAGGGATTGAGCTGAAGGGCGGTAGCTGAAGCCCCTGCTGTGGCCTTGTGCCATGTACTCCCTGCCCTTGGCTTCTGCTGCCTGGCCAGGCAAGGTGCTCCTCCTGGTCTTGCACTCCTGCCTGGAGCACCTGCAGTCAGGGTGATGAACTGTGGCTGGACCAGAGCGGGGAGGCTGTTCAGTCCCCCCAGGAGCCTGTCCATGTCTCCCTGGCACTGTGGCTCTTCCAGTGGTGCTGGGAGCAGTGGCAGATCCCTGGCATTGGAGCATGTGGATTTTGGGCACAAGGGGCTGGACTGGTGCTGGCTGACACCTGCCTTTGCCTCCCCAGGCAACAGGTCCCTTCCTACACATTGGAATCGTGGGAGGAATGACGCTCCTTGCCTGGCCCCTAGCCAGCTTCATCTACCGCTCCCGCAACACAGGTAATCCTCCTCCAAGATCTCTACCTCCCTCCTCGACTGGCGCCCTGCTTCCTACCACTCAGCCAAGCAGCACTGGTGGCAGAGAGGTGCACAGAGAGCACCGGTGCACTGAGAACAGGACCCCAGGACTCAGTCTGGTAGTAACACCTGATCTTGTTTGCTGCTTCTCATGCCCAGCCCTTGGTGCAGCTTCAGCCCTTGCTGCTTTGCAGCTGAAGGAGGGCTATGGATGGCAGGCTGAGTCCTGCAGAAGTGCTGGATTGGGGTGCAAGGACATGTAGTAGGCCAAGAATAAATCTGCAGTGTTCCTGGGGCTAGGGATACAATGCCTGACCTAGGGCAACCGTAAGTTAATGCCAGGTGAAGCAGCCCTGGCTTATTCATAATGGCCTGCAAAATACTTGTACCTCTGTACCTCACTCCTCTATCTTCTCTGTCTCTGCCTGCAGGTCTCAAGGTGTTTCTGCTGCTTGTGTACTGTGTGGTGATGATCGCGCTGTATCTGGTTCCCCTGGGAATCACCTCCCCTTGCATCATGGAGGAGAACCAGCTGCCTCCCAAGCCAGCCTTGGTTGGCCACCGAGGAGCCCCCATGGTGAGTGACCAGCACCCTGGCAGAGGGGTCAGGGTAGATGGGGCAGGCTGCTCTACTAGCCAAAGCCCAGCTGTGCCCAGCTGTAGAGCACTGGCATCAGACCCTTGCTGCTGGAGGCCTGGGTGAGCCCTGGCCAGCCCAGTAAAGAGGGAGGTCCCCACAGCAGCCAGGGCAGCGTAGGGCTGGAGGACAGATGAGCACAGCTGGGGAGGGTGGGCGCAGCAGTCACAGGGCAGAGCTGCTTGCTCAGTGCTGCCGGACAAGCAGCAGGTGACTCTCAGCAGACAGCCTGGCTATGTAGTGTGGCTGGGAAGCAGGAACTAGGCAGCCTCTGGCTGTCTGCACCCAGCCCTTTTCCACCCTCTTACCCTACCAGGGTCACCTCAGTCTCATTGTGGTCACCCTAGAGCCCAGCAACACTGCTGGGTGCAGCCAGGCAGGGCGAGTGCCTGCCTCCTGCCCCTACCTGCCCATCCCCTCTGCACTAACACTGTTCCTTTTCCAGCTGGCCCCCGAAAACACCCTCATGTCACTGCACAAGGCGGTGGACTGTGATGTGCAAGTCTTTGAAACAGACGTCATGGTGAGGTAAAGGGGCAGCAGGGACTTGGAGGGAGGAAGGGGCCTGTGTATCCTGGGATGTCACCTCCCACATGGGGCAGCCTGGAATACACCTGGAGAACTGATACAGCCTGCATTTGGAGGCAGCTCTGTTCAAAGATCTCTGCTATTTGCACCTTCCCGGTATGGGACTGGGTCCAGTTTGGTGTCCCAATGATCTGGGAGAGGTATTGGGTTTCTGTTCTCCCCATGCAGGTTGTGTTCCCAGGGCATTAGAAAGGAGGCAGCATCAGGGAGGTGCACTGATTGGAAAACAGGCCCTGGGTCTCATTCATCTCATGCAATCCTGCTGTGGGGACAGCTGTTGCAGTGAGCAAGGAACTGCTTGGTTCCTGGCTTAGTCTCTAGGTGCTCTGCTTTCCAGACACTCAACTTTTTATGTAGAGGACCACAAGAAGGCATAAGGGTGGGGTCTACCCCAGGGTGGCTGGGTGTGGGCAGAAATGCCAGAGCAGGGATAGCAGACAAACAGTTTGCAACACAGAGCTTTCCTCTCTGCTCCTTTGCCAGTGCTGACGGGGTCCCGTTCCTCATGCATGACGACGAACTCACCAGGACCACCAATGTGCAGGCTGTGTTCCCCGAGAGGGCTGCTCTGAACAGCACCACCTTCAACTGGACAGACCTCCAGCAGTTGGATGCTGGCAGCTGGTTCCTGGAGGTCAGGATGCCCCTGGGATGGCTGGTCAGGGATGGGCGCGTTTGTAGGTAAATCACGATCCCTGCCCTGGGGAAGGCTCCCTCTACAGCACTGGTCCCGGCAGACACCTGGGCAGGGTATGGAACCACTTCCACACCTCCACAAATGGCTTGGGTGTGGTTACACCCCAAGCTGGGGTTTGTTCTGACTCCTCAGCTGAGTCACGGAGGAGGCTGGTGTGAGGGGAGATCTCACGCGTTTGCTCTGAGCTGCACAGCCTGCCTGGGCTTGGAGGCAGCTGTGGCAAGGCTCTTCCCAAAAAGTGACTAACGAACTGCTGAGCTGCTCCGAATGCCCACAGCAGCTGGCGCTGCCTGAACGGTGCTGTTAGTGGGGAGAAAGGTAGAGGTGCACCATGGATGCGCAGGGGAAAGGATCCCTGTGCCTGTCTCCACTGGAAAGCATGTGGGGAGGCTAATGTAGGAAACTGAGAGTCAGAGACAGGCACCAGTTTGGGAGGTGGAGGCTTACGGGGGGATCTACCTGTGATGACTTCCTCTCACCCTTGCAGCGGAAGCCGTTTCCCACTGTGCACAGTCTTTCTGCTGGTGATCGCCACCAGGCAACTAAACAGAGGATCCCATCCCTGGAGCAGGCGCTAGAGGCAGCCAAGCAGAGCAATATCTCCATCATGTTTGACCTCCGGCCTGAGAACCACAGTGACTACCAGAGCTTCGTCAATGCCACCCTGAAAGTGATCTTACAGTCAGGCATCCCATTACAGCAGGTGAGCTGGGCCCTGCTGTCACACACCTGCTATGGTGGGAGGTGCCCTACGCAGCCCACTGAGCATCCCTGCCACCCCACACCCCACAGCCCCACGTGTGATCCCTGCTGGAAAACCCTGTCTAGGAGTGGGGTTCTCTAGTTGGGAGAAGTTGCCAATAATTAGGGGTTAATGCCTACAACTTCAGACCCCTCCAAAAATATTCTGGTTTCCCAGCACTGGCCACCCTGGTGTGTAAACAGTGACTCAGTCTAGGGAGGGGACCAACAGTGCTGGTGAGAGCACGAAAACAATGCTCAGCCTTCCACCCCCTACACGGCACCACACCTCTCCCTGCAGCTCTTGGGCTCTGGCTGCAACCTCCTGCATTTCCTTTGCACTTCATCCAACCTCTGCAGCACAGGACATGTGCTGCCCCGAGGGGATGAATTAGCACCCAAATCACTTTCCCTTCTCGGGTTTTTGGGAATGTAGAGCAGGAGAGGGCAAAGCAAAGAGCTGTATTGTAGTGCTGATCCAAAGTGCATTCTTGCTGCAGAGTTAGGGCTAAAAGGATGCACTGCTTGATCCATTCAAGGACCCAGAAAGTACACAGAAGAGAGCAAGCTCTCTGGAGCACCTCTCCTCTGCATGTGCTCTCTGGCTCTTGCCTAGGTCCTCTGGCTGCCAGATGCATTCAGGGAACAGGTCAAACAGCAAGCCCCAGGTGTTCAGCAAGTTTATGGACGGAAGAGACTCCAGAATGAGAAGGAGCCGCTGCTGCATGTCAATCTGCCCTACCAGGACATGAGCTCTGAGGAGATCAGGTGAGAGCCCAGTGCCCAGGACCCTGGGTGTTGTGGAGCCTGAGTGCTCTCTCATCTCTGTCCCAGGGACCAGCAGAGGTGAGGACCTGCTGAGGCTGATTGATGGTGTGCTGCCAGGAAAGGCAGGATGTGTGCTATGGCTTTGCAGACAAGCACACCTTCTCAGGCAGGGCTGGTGCAGGGGATGGAGCTGGCTGCAGGCCTCTGCCTTGCCAGCAAATCTGCCCCAGGTCTGGTTCTCCAGACAGTCGCTCCATATGGCTACAAATGCTGGATCACATCCCAGATATACACCCTGGCTGTGCGCTGAGTGTGCCAGCACCCTGCTGTCCACTGCTCTGACCACTGCTCTGTCCCTGTACAGGCAGTACCGCCAGGACAACATCTCTGTCAACTTGTATGTGGTGAACCAGCCCTGGCTTTTCTCCGTGCTGTGGTGCTCCGGGGTGACCTCTGTCACCACCAATGCCTGCCAGGTGCTGAAGGAGATGAAACACCCCATCTGGCTGCTTGTAAGTGACCCGTCCATCCTTCACCCTGCCTCACAGCCCTGTGCCCCAGGCACTTGTGGGTCCCTTTCTGCAGCAGCCCTGGGCAGTCACCTGCCTGGAGGGTGACTTTTGCTCAGTGCTGTGCTGGCATGGGAAGACGTGACCCTGCAGGAGGCTGGGCTGTGCCACTAGCACACACCCCCTGGCTGGTGTGCATGGCTTGTCTTGTTGTTTTGCAGCCCAGCAGCACATACCTCATGATCTGGATTGTTGTAGACTGCGCTTCCTTCCTTGCCATCCTCTGGGCCTTCTTCTTGCTGAAGTACGTTTGATCCCTTTCCCCCTTGTGAAGCAGGTCTGTTGGGGGAGGCTGTAGTGTGTCCTGGGCGGCTGGTACATACTCAGACCTGGTTGTATCTGCTGCCACCCCTCTCTGGACTCAGATCCTTCAGGGTCCTTTCCCATCTGGCTACGTGAGTCAGCAGTGTGTGGAGGCTACTTTTGTCACCAAGTTCCAGCTAAAAATCTGGCCTGACACTTCCTTGAGCTGCTGGATGCCTTAGTGCACGCTTACTAGCTTGCTCTGTGCCCCAGGGCTTGGTGGACTGAGGTTGGGGGACCTTGGCCCTGCTCCTTTACCAGTGCTGCAGCCACAGAGGGCAGATCTCTGTGGCACCGTGACTCCTGTGGGGCCCCACAGCTTCCAGCTGGGAGCTCAGGGGAGGCCGGGGCGGGGGGATAGACTGGCATGCTAACATCAATCCTATTCTATCTCCTAGGAAATGCTCCCAGAGAAGACGGCCAGCGGGTGAGTGTGCACAGACGTAAGCTCCCCTCCCTCCAACGCAGGCTCTGCCTGTGGGGCTCTCCCTGGCAGGCAGGCAGCTTTCTCCAGCTGAACAGAGCGGTTTGGGATAGCCAGGGGGAAGGAAGGGAATCCCAGCCCAGGGAGTTCCTGTCTTGCCCTTGCCAAACAGCCCTGCGGGACAGCACTGGGGAATCCCACACTTCCCAAGTCTCCTCAAACCTGCTTTTTAGGCTGCTCCGCCTGTCGCTGCGGCATGGTGGCTGCCTGCGATAATGACTGACGATGATTGTTCCTTCTCTCTATCCTGCCAGAGTCTGAGACTGACGTGCTGCTCACAAAGATCAACAGCTTGATGCAGGAGTAACCCCTCCAGCCTGTGTCAGCCGTGTGGGGGTGCAACCAGAGTCGTGCCCAGCTCCAATGTGGAGCACTCCTCCGGCCAGCATCGAGACTCCTTTCCTCTGCAGACTCCTTCCTGAGCTTCCTGTCCCCCGCAGCCTTTTTGGCTCCTTGCGTGATGCACAACTGCTCTCAGCTGAAAAGACCTGGGACTGGGTTCCCAGTTCCCACTGTCAGCGAGGAACTGGAGCCTTTGCAAGGGTTTCCTAGGGCTGGCTTGTGCCTGGGTGCTGAGTACTTAAGGGGTGCTGGGAGCTAAGACATCTGCCCTGGGGGTTTAGAGACTGGTGGGGATTTCGGTCGCTATTTGGTGCAGAGGAAGGGCAGCGTTTCCCAGTGATGGGAAACGTTTTTTAAAGTGCTGCTGCCCTGGGGGCCCCAGGACTTGAGGAACAGAAGACGGGCGGGTGGCGTTCCACAAGACGGGGGGAAGGTGAGCTCTTCCCATCCCCACGCCGACACAAGTCCTGCTCCTGCTGCTGCCAGCTTCGTGCTTGCGGGGCAGGGTGCTGGCATATGGCAGTCGGTGCCTGCTGCTCTGAGGGCAGAGGGAGCAGGGGCTGGGATGGAGGGGTCTGGGGCTGGCAGGACCACGGTCCCGCTCCTGTTGCTGCGAGGCTGCGGTGTGTGGAAGGTGGAGGGGAGGGGGCGGTGGGACTCGGTGTCGGTCCCTTTGCAGCAAGGCCTTAAA